CCCCCCCCCTTTTCAAAAAGAAAAGAAAACTATCGTAATCTGCTAATATTGTATTGAATATGGCAATTTATCATATTCATTAATTAAGCACATAAACACCCTGATGACACTTAAACTATAAAATATACATGCTCCAAGTCAGGAACCGTTACATTAGTGCATTTTTATCATTAAAAAGGTACAGAAGTAGAAATTGTGACTATTCATCTATATTGTTTTTGGAATGAAATTCTTATATATAGCATTCAGATTCAACCAAATATGAGCCGACAGCCGTACCCTTGTTCATACAATCCGTTAATCTCTATTAACATCTCGTTAGGTAATGCATGACTGTAATATATTTTCTAAATGGAAAATTGTAATAAAAATAGCTTAAACGTAAGGACGTAATTCATAATCTAAATGTAAGATTGCAATACCATTATCAAAATTAAAGTAATTATTTAAGGTTCGTTTCAATAATACAATCATAAAATATCAACTAAAACACTGCACATAATATGTTTGTGTGAAGATCTAATTTACCTCATTCGTATCATCCCTTCGTACTTGTCGATAATAGCAATTGTAGATTTACTTACATGTATTTTAAAACAGGAGGAACGATTACGATAGTTGGGGCTTATACTGTTTTTTCTTACATCGTTAGATATATGTCTGAAAATGTCGGAAGCTGATTCTGTCGTCTTGATTAACATATTGGTAAACAACATTAATTAAACCACAAACTCCATTTTCTAAACTTCTTACGCAACTTCAGGTCATGTCGATTAACACATGCAAACGGTTTGGGTCATCATCGATACTCCATCATCGATACAGAGTGTCGCTCACTTTCGCTCTATGTACCCCTGGAATATGTCATAGATAAACTGAAGGCTCATTGTGCGCCATCTTGTTTTATCAAAATATTCTTGCGGTCGCTCCCCTGTAGTCTTCAAAGGACATGTATCAGCCTAGCGATTGATCAGGTTTTTCCACCTGAGACCAATCAACCCGCTTTCTTCGTGCCTTCAATTTTGCTATGACATATTCCAGAGAACGAAAGTGATCGTAAACCCTAGAGTATTGGGGATGGGTTTGGGTTAAAACCGTATGTGTGTTTAGCTGTGTAGCACCTATACGATTGATTGTATTTGCTTTTATAAGGAACAATACGGTACGACATTCTGATATTGAGAGAATAGTAATGATGAATGCCAGTAATACCAAACTGCAACAACTAACAAATAAAATACTTAGATATATTGTTTTCAAAATATTGAAAATCACTTCCATAACATTCTTGGTTTTCTGGGAAGTCTTTTTATATTAGCCTATGAAATCCAGATGACTTATTGACTGGGTTTTTTGGGCGTTTATAAGCAACGCTTAGGCATATGTACGACCTTCTGATATTGAAAGAATATAAAGAATAGTTTTGATATTTCTCAGTAAATGAAAATTGAATCAAAACTAATAGGGTACTTTTGTTAACAAAATATTTTGAAAAATATCGTTGTTATACTTACATTGCAACGGACCTCGGTTTCCTGTTAATTTTGTATATATTTGCCTATGCTATCCAGTCATCTGCGCCCTATAAGACACTATAACACTATATTTTCGTCACTTTGGGATTGAGTGACACTGTGCGTATTTGAGATCACGGCTACCGATGTTATATTTCTTTTATTATTATTAAAAAAAAATGCCCGAGACGTCAAAACTATTGGCTTTTCCAGGAACGTAGTCTTCTTGTCAGAGAGTTCTTTACGTTATAACAACATATTTTTAACTTTAAAGTATTAAGCACAAAAGCCCTGTTAATTCGGGATAAATTTCTCTTTCGCTATCCAAGAACACTACAGCTGAGATTGGTTTAATAGAATCGAGAGTTAAACAATTAAAACAATTAATTTAAAATGAATACCGACGAGGATGGGATTCGAACCCACGCGGGGAGACCCCAATGGATTAGCAGTCCATCGCCTTAACCACTCGGCCACCTCGTCTGTTATAGCATGCATCAGCCATATCTATTATTCAAACTGCCATTAGCGTATACACCAGATACTCTCGATACATTTTATAAGAATCCTGTTGAATATATCATGATGTTTTGTCCATTAAAATACAAGAAATTCAATGAATAAATGTTTAAACCAGGAAGAGAATATACACAATTTTAAGTGTACTTTATAACATATGTCCATTTATTACAATAGTATACTATGTACTGGCCACCTGGTGTGAGCAATACACGGAAAGGTGTGTTATCGCATGTCATTGCGCACCTAGTTTAAAACAGTAAATAATTACCATCAAGTATGTTAAATATTTGAGCAAACATCCTACCCCTGCGGTTTACTCAAACGCGTATTGATGATTAAGGACAACACCTAAATGATAAACAAAATGCGCTGTGTCACTGACTTCTCTTACACTAGGTAGGAGTTCAGGTAACACGTAAAGATTATAGAAAAGGTGGGCATGCGCAAATACGTACACACCTGTGACACTACGTACATATTTAGTTCTCCGATATATGTGTATACATTTATGTTAAACAAGCCCATATAAGTAATCGTCAAAATGTGTCTCCGTTCTAAATATGATCACGTGTTTCATTGAATTTGGACGTTCAGTCTATGTCGGACTTTTGATTGGCTCTGCAGAAGACATGACCATATAAGGTTATCTTCGAATTGAGTAGGATTACAGAGTGAATACAGCTATAAATTGGAGACAAAGCTCCATAAGTGTCAGTGATTCTGATTTAGTTTCTCAGGACGGTCAAAGACGTGGTAAATCTCCAAATAACAATTCATAATGGCCGACGACGACGTAGCAGCTCTTGTCATCGACAATGGTTCTGGGATGTGTAAGGCTGGATTCGCAGGGGATGACGCCCCACGTGCTGTTTTTCCCTCCATTGTTGGGAGACCAAGACATCAGGTATGGTGACAGGAAAGAAAAAAATATATGATTTAACTTTTTATCAGTCTAGCCTTACTTGTGGGAATATTTTTCTTTTCGTTGCATAAAATAAAAAGACTTGTTTAGCTCGACAAATTCAATTCCTCATTTTCGTCGATAGTTTTACAATTTTTGCTTGGAAAGTGACTTATATGATTTGAGCGTGTAATGTTCGTTAGCAAAATGATATATTCAATGTGTTCTAATAATTGAGTTTTCTAAATTATTATTAGTATTTAAGTTTCATTCCAAAACATAGATGTGAGAAAATATGTGTGAAATAACATGTTTTCTTCAATAGACATGTCTGTTGATTAAAATCAGGACAGGTATAGATTATTTGATTTTTTATTACCATATTTGGAGGTCTGACGTTAAGACCTAGCCTGTCTCGCGCCGTAAACTCATGCCAAATATCGGTTATTACAATGTGAGGCAGAAAGGTGAAAGGTATATAATGACCGCATATAATACCCCCGAAAGTAAATTCGGTAATCTGATTCCACGAAATCGCTCATTTGTGCATGTGTTAGTTAATTGTAAAAGTTGAAAGTGAAACGGACGACGGTCTTAGGTAATCCGCGGTAATCAGTTGTAAGTACAGGTGATTACATGGTTTTAGAGTAACAAGAGACGTATAACACTGGGAAGTTGCAAGAGTGCGACAAATCATACACTAAGTGTCTAACTGCGAACTATCCACACTGTTCACACACATTAAATAGAGAAAAAAACGCCAATTATCTATAAGATTCTTTTATCACTGCATAATTCTCCAAGTCTAAGAAGCATTTTCATGGACAATAAGCAAATGCTAATCATAGCAAATAGTATACAAAAAAAAACCTTTAAATCGGTCCTAACAATTACCCAAATTTTCAATTGTTAATCATACTGTATCCATGGGTCTCAATTTGTATCCGAGTAAAACTCTGAAAATTAAACTCTCCGTTTTTGCTATTACAGGGAGTGATGGTTGGTATGGGACAGAAGGACAGCTATGTCGGTGATGAGGCACAAAGCAAGAGAGGTATTCTCACCCTCAAGTACCCCATCGAACACGGCATTGTCACAAACTGGGACGATATGGAAAAAATCTGGCATCACACTTTCTACAACGAGCTCCGTGTGGCTCCTGAGGAACACCCTGTCCTCCTGACAGAGGCCCCCCTCAACCCCAAAGCCAACAGGGAGAAGATGACACAGATCATGTTCGAGACCTTCAACTCCCCCGCCATGTATGTAGCCATCCAGGCTGTGTTGTCCCTGTACGCCTCAGGTCGTACTACCGGTATTGTGTTGGACTCTGGGGATGGTGTGACCCATTGTGTACCCATCTATGAGGGTTACGCCCTACCTCACGCCATTCTTAGGTTAGATCTCGCAGGACGAGATCTCACAGACTACCTCATGAAAATCCTCACAGAGCGTGGTTACTCATTCACAACCACCGCCGAGAGAGAAATCGTCAGAGACATTAAGGAGAAGTTGGCATATGTCGCCCTTGACTTTGAACAGGAAATGTCCACAGCAGCTTCCTCCTCATCTCTGGAGAAGAGCTACGAACTTCCCGACGGCCAGGTCATCACCATTGGCAACGAGAGGTTCAGGTGCCCCGAGGCTCTGTTCCAGCCATCATTTTTGGGAATGGAATCGGCTGGTGTTCACGAAACGACATACAACAGCATCATGAAATGTGATGTTGACATTCGTAAAGACTTGTACGCAAACACAGTTCTGTCCGGTGGGACCACCATGTACCCTGGTATCGCTGACCGTATGCAGAAGGAAATCACCGCCCTGGCTCCAAGTAGTATGAAAATCAAAATCATTGCTCCACCAGAAAGGAAATACTCCGTCTGGATCGGTGGCTCCATCTTGGCTTCTCTGTCCACCTTCCAACAGATGTGGATCAGCAAACAGGAATACGACGAGTCTGGTCCATCCATTGTCCACAGGAAATGCTTCTAAATAAAAAAAACAAGTTAAATAAGATAAATAAAACTTTTCTACGTCAATATTGCCCTCGGATATTGAAGTCCAGATTTTATCTGAAGCGCGCACTTTACACGCGCTGTATCCATTGTATCAATGTACTAAGATTTCATAATATACATAATCATTGTTTTCATATTGTCATTCCTAGAATTTGTTGTCAAATGGTAAAAAAAAAAAATGAAAAGAAAAATATTATGAATAAAAACTACAAAAGATATATTGACGGGTTGATATCTATGTTGACATCATAATTGATAACATAAAGCATTCGATAGAACACTGCACGTTCATGTTTCGAGTTCTCCACAAATGCTGGTAAATTACCGGCTATTTTAATATTTAATATCATAAATTATAGGGTTTAATTTAGTAATTATATCATGTCAAACAATAATCGTTGAAATGAAAAGCCTACGTTCAAAGAAAATATGTTTCGAATTGAAACAATAGAAAAGTAATGATGAATCTCTATAGCAGGTGAGTAGTGTTGTGTATATTTGAGCTGATGCCTCTTTTTAGGCATCAACAAATGCTGCACCACATTACCAGGCTTACAAATTGTAACCATTGCGTTTAAAAAGTATCCGCCAATGACGAGCTGCTAAATATAGAAACATGCGTTGTATTCCCGCTTCGGTTAGATAAATTATCAGAATTTTATACCACAGGGACCTGAGAATTTGTTACAGCTATATTTCGACCTAAACTAAGGTGTTCAGAGTAATTTTACATGTTTCAGTGGTTTATATCAATTTTCGGTAAAAATGCCACACCCAATGATCATATATCGTACCCCAATGACCATATATCGGTGGAATAATGCCTTCTGATTGGGGTAAAAATCACTATAAAAATGTCGGATTGCCTTTTTGTTTCTCACGATACTGACCTGGGGGTTAGACCTCAGATTATAGCCTTCTGGTGTGTTCCGTGATGTGACATTACTCCACTGTTGAATATTTTGCTTAATTTGGCCTTTATCTGTGCGTCATCAGTCTCATTAGCAATATAAATTGTAAAAAATAAAAAGCAAAAAAAAGCAGTTAACGACGAGGATGTGATTCGAACCAACGCGGGGAGACCCCAATGGTTTAGCAGTCCATCGCCTTAACCACTCAGCCACCTCGTCTGAAGCGCTGACGATGACTGATTTTTATGATGTTGAATATATACTAGCGAAAAAGAAACTGTGCACGCCTAAAATGTGTTATAAAAATAAATGTGTATGACGTAGAACAACAAGGTTTCAGGGACAATTTATTTGTTATTTATTAACAGTTGCATTCCATTTTCCTCGTTATGGAATAAATAAGTTCCGCTCAGGAGTGACGTAAACACACAGGGGTTAATACTGTGTTCACAAAGTTAATACCTCGTATGTCCACCGTTTGCCTGAATGCAAGCCTGACAACGTCGAGGCATGGAGCCTATCAGACGTTTCAAGAATGCTTGTGGGATGGCATTCCAGATCTGTACCAGCGCTGCAGCCAAATAATCCAACGTCACCGGTTGATTAGGTAATGCCCGAAATCTGCGCTTCATTTCATCCCAGACGTGGTCAATGGGCGACAGATCGGGGGATACAGCAAGCCAGGACAACACGTCAACGTTCTGCTGGGCCAGAAAGTCCATAGCGACACGAGCTGTGTGTGGCCTGACGTTGTCCTGCTGTAGCGTAATGTGAGGTTGCTGCCCTTGCACGAATGGAACGACGTGGGTCCGGATGAGCTCGTCACGGTAACGTAGCGCGTTCAAATTCCCGTTAACAACCACCAGAGGCGTTCTCCCGTTGGCTGTGAAACCTCCCCAAATCATAACGCTGCGTCCGCCGAAAGAACGTCGTTGTATCACACACGCGTCACGGAAACGTTCTCCAACGCGACGATACACTCTGGAACGGCTGTCACTACTATCCAGGTGGACTCGCAACTCGTCCGTAAACAAAATGCCCGCCCAATCCCGTCGAGTAAATCGCAGATGCCTCCACTGAAAATAACATGATATGTATACTACTAATTTGTCAATAGTCACTGAGTATTACAATAATTACAATTATCATTACCGTGTTCTCCCGGATAAGTTAAGTTAATGGTATGAACTATTGTATCAAGATTGTAACAACTCTGTGCAATATTAAAGAAGAGTATATCAAACATTATGGTTAAAATGTATGCAGACTTTGACTATGCCATCATTTCTATCAAAAAAACCTTTTAAAACAACTATTAGCCTGCTATTTGTGACCTTCAGATCAAGCACACGGTGTGTAACATGACAAAGAAAGGTTATCCTGCTGCCAGTAGAGTCTAGTGCTACCTTCAGTATTGAACTTGTGATCGTCAATAAATCCTTAAGTTTACATATTCAAAACAGTATATATATACATTTATAATATAAATACTTTTTAAACAGCATCGTTTTACTTACTTCATAGGAGGAACTGTAACGTTCCGGGGTCCGTACCCTAGTCACTTCTAAGGATCC